AATGGCAGGGAGCCCAAGCCAGGCAAAGAGCAGAGTTCAGGGAGACACAGGTCTATACTCAGGGACCAGAAGAGCGGGCATAGCGACCCCCCCTGAGCTTCGCAGGGAGATGCTGCCCAATATGGGGTAAAGCTAACAAAGACAGGGGGACTGAACAGGTCACTTTGGAGACAACACTTCCCCTTCCCACAGAGGTAAGAGGACCATATGCTGGAGATTTCAAAACCCAGATAGCGGCATTGCATCTTGAAGGGTCTTTGCAACTCTGAGACATGGCCATCTTTGCCTCTCTACTCTTCAGTCTCAGCTGGGTTTCTAAGACACATGCTGGGAATTTCCCTCTATAAATGAAGTCGCTGCTGACCACACGACCCACCCTCACTAACGTGGCAGATGCGCCTCCCCGCTGGGTCAGGGGTTTCCTCACTAACGTGGCAGATGCGCCTCCCCGCTGGGTCAGGGGTTTCAGGCACACCTGCGAGTACTCCGGAACATCCTCACTCCAACCTGAGCTGCTGGAGCCCTCGGCCAGTCAGAGCGCTCAGACGGCCCCCACCCCCCAGAACAACCTCCCTACTCATCATGCTCTCACATGTAGGCCCCTGAGGGCCAACACCCAGACCCCTGTGTGAACATGCCAACTCCCCTTTGCAGGCTTCATGGTGGAAAGAGGAGCCCCCAAAAGCTAGGTGGCGATGCTTGCTCTCCCCTTAGCACAAACACAGCCCCAGGTCATCTGAATAAATGCGGACTAACTACAAGATATTGTCTAGTGCTGCTGCTTGTATTTCTGCTGATACAATTCTGGTTTTTAACAGCAGCAGCAGCAGCGGGGGCAGCTGCCAAGTAATGCCATGAGCAGGGACAGAGGGAATCACGCCCAGTGTTCAAAAGAGTGAGTCTAATTCCGCACCCCTCGCATCTCCACTGAGACAAGGCTGTTATCGGGGCCCTTTTACCAAGACATTTCAAGTCCAAGCCAAACAGCTCTGAACTAGCTTGCAGCTAATCTGAGCACATGCCACAGTCCCATGAAACAGGCCCTGCTCTTGAACTCTCAAGAGATCCTTAAGCCTCAATATGATGTCTAACTGTAGGGTCAAGAGAGAAAATAGGTTACTGGTTCTCTCAGTCTCCTCATTCCATGCAAACCTGGGGTTTTGATATGGCTTGAGAATCTCAAGAGTATGTAGGGCCAGAGGTGTGCCTGCTTTCCTGAACGACCGATCCAATCTGTATTTCGTTCTTGACATAATGTACTTCTGACGGAATCTTGATTCATCATGCCGACCCTCTTGAGTACTATATAATACAAAACTAGGAAAGCAGTTCAATCTCCACGCCTCCCTCTCCTCGGCCCTTCAGTCAAGAACAGGTACACTGACTATAACAAGGAGAAAGGCTCCCTCTGTTAGCCCACTTACCAAGAACAAACAGTGCCCCCTGAAGGCTCAGTTCCCCACCAGACGGTGCTAAGCGGCCCTCACAACAAAGGTGCTCAACATTTTCACTGCGCACAGAGCCTCTCCCCGCCAGAGCCACACCCATCACCATGCTTCCCTGGCCCGCCAGGAAACCAAAAAAAGCAAGCCAGGAGAACCATCACACAACAGTTAAGGGAAGAGATTGTGATGTCTTTCCAGCACACGAGGAAGACTTTTTAACGGACAGCCATGTTTTGTCTCTTCAAACACAGTGATACACAGAAAAGGCTGATGTCTTAGAAACTGGCTTTCTGCCCTTGCCGGTTCTTCTCCTTGGACAAGGAACTCAGGTATTGAACTTACCCTGAGATGCATTGTTGTGTTCGCATTTTCCCAGGTCTGAAATCAGAATGCAACTTGTCGCCAGCGAGGTTTTACAGTCAGCGTCACCAGGAAAGAGTTGAGAAGGAGCTGCGACGGCCTGTGTATGTTCAAACCTGGTCCCGGCACGACGGTGCCATCACACTTACTAAGAAATCTACATCTAATCTACGTCAAGTAAGCCGAAAGAGCTCTTTCAGCCAAGTATAAAATCAAAATGCCATGGGTAAGAACGCATTCCACTATAGTTTATTTGAAAGTGTTTTGTTTACTTGTTTAGTGTTGCATATAAGAAAAATTATATAAAAATATCTCCAACAAGATACAATACCTCATAGCTTCAGTAAAATGCAACCTCTTCCACTGACACTTCTGAAGTTTGAAAAACTGCGTATACTGAGAAGTCACCAAAGTTTATACTGGGGAAATGTCTAGGTCTGAATGAAAGACTACTATTAAGATATCCTTAATGAAATATTATTTTAATTACTTTTTTCTTCTTACAACGAGTAATTTTCCAACCTGGAAACCCAAAAGCTACTAAAAAGTAGTGGCTACATCAGAACACCAGATGGTGGGCAAGCTAATTTTTTCCACGGTGATTCTTACAGAGAAGATTAGAAAATTCCAATATACAGTCTAGACCAATACTAGCCTGTAAAGCATAAAGTACAGACCATATATATGTAATTGTAATGTTCATGTTGCAGTGTTTTTAGTCTTAAAAGTAGGAAACTTTCATTTTGATACTGTTTGCTATTTAACTCAATATATCGCCACGGTTTACATTTCACCGTGTAATCAATATAAAATAGTCATGAAATTTTTTATTTGTTTGCTGTCTTTGAAATTCAGTGCATATTTTATACTTAGAGTTTATCTCCATTTGCACAAACACCTTTCAAATGGTTAGTGGCCACATGTGGCTAGAGACTTCCCATTTGGGACAATGCAGGTCAGGTAATACATGCCTCCTTTAGCAGAACAAAGTCATCTCTTCCAGACACTTTGCCGGGCATGGTTACTTCAGGATCAACTGGCAGAGTTCCAGCTGCTTCCTTCCACTGCACTCATGACTCTGAACGGCAATACACTGGTCACCCCAACACTGACAATTACATCTCGTTCTGGAGCAACGCTGCTGGTGACTGTCTAGAACAATGGTCTTCAAACTAGGTAACAAACAGGAATGATTTGCAAGAAGTTTGTGAGCAGGGAGAGGCTATGGGAAATCCACCCTCAGATTCTCAATTCCCACTTACTTGTGTCCTTGCCTAAAAATGATTGCCTATGAACTTTTTTAAAAGTAAGTACTATTTTGCCATTCTTCTCTACTGATTACTTAAGTGTATCATTAAGTGGAGAGATAAGCACCTACTAACTAATAACAGTATACATGTTGCTAATATTCTTTTAAATATAACTGGAATGTTTTCCAGCATTACCAAATGTCCATTTCTGTTACGGTAAATCAGTCAATTAAACTAGTTAAACCCTGTTTGTTCGTTTGTTTTCCTTCTCAGGGTTTAACTAAATTCAATCCTCATTTCATTTTATAAATAATTGTATATATTTTCTACCCCCTTATTAAAAATAAAATATAGTAGCCTCCAGACAAGTTAATTTTTAGCTACACATATTTTTGTTCTTAATTAAATACAGTTCAAAAGTTTGATTCTTTGATCTACTAAAGTTGATGTGGTTTTAGATTTTTATACATGATTCAATTATTTACTGAAAACCAACTCCAGAGTTCTGAAAACACATGCATAAACATAAGGTTCTATCAAAGGACCATGCCTGCCATCAGCTTTCCCTTCATACTTAAGTTATAATGTCACTTACATACAAAATTGTTTAAAATTACATATGAGGAATTATTTAATTTCTTTATTTTGATATGGGTAAAGATTTTATCATGTTAGCCTTCTATTTAATTTTTGTAAATTATTAATCAAGAGGTTTCCTAATTTATTTCTCTGGTTTTAATGATGCTCCTCAGAATGAGTTTTCATCTGAGGTCAACACTTTTCATGAAAGTAAATCTGATTTGGCTGATTATTTTGATATCAATATTGCCTTTGATGATTAAGTAATGTAACAACTGTTTTCTCTGAAATTAATGCTACAAATATGCAACCCCAAAATTTTACATCTAAAAGATGTAATGCAAATTAAAAATTATTATTTTGGCAAACGCATGTTAATCTAAATATTTTGATTCTCCCAATGTAGTGTGAGTACTGTGCATGAAAACTAATAGCTCAAAATGAAAGTATGACAGCTATAATTAATCATTTGCTCAATTTTGATAAACTTCCTGAAAACTCAGTAATAAGTGATTCAGCAACAAATCATTTTGTAAATCAGGCTTTCTTTGCTTTTGTGGAATTAAAGATAGGCCTAGCCAATTCATGTATTAAAAAGCATTTTTGATAGCAAGTCACTGTATGAATTTTCATCTGGACATGGATTCCATTCATTTATTTATGGGAACAAAATAATCATATTCATTTGTGGCATGCATTTCCAACCAACTTCTACTTTCCGGTTTTAATAATTGCTTATCAAAATGTATAATGTTATAATATTTTCTACCACTCCTGCAAAGTGTATCACTAATAATTTAATAATTTCAGTACTTAGGCTTAGAGTTACAGAAAAACTTATTTCAACCCATACGTGCTCTTTTAAAAGACTGCCCGTGTTTTTTTCTTTATTTTCTTGCTTCTGAAGCTATAATGATGAGTATCAAGTTGCTATGGTATTTTTTAGTTCACTGAGTGCAATCAACATGTGCTTAATTAGGTCATTTATCTAAAAGTGTAAGTACTTTAATATGCTGGAAGTAATAACTGTTCAAATGTTTAAATTTATGATGCCAAAATTCAGGGGCGAACCCTAGGATTTGTGATGGAGTAGGTGGCTTTCCAAACGACCTTAGGTGGCCTGCAATTAAAGAGTTTGAAGACCAGTGCTAGGGAACAGTCTCAGTAAAGCCGGGAGGAAAACTGAGCTGGGCAAGTTAAACCTTGCAAGATTTCTTCCTATTTTATCACTACTTTTAATTTCTGGATGTAGCAGGAGCCATTAAAACTTGATGTGGACTAGCTTATTGCCCAGGGCACTCACACAGCTTTGCAGTGGATAAAATGTTAGTGAAGTTTCTGAGCAACCCACAAACACTGTACTTACTCAAAATGGTCACTAGGGGGCACTCCGCTCTCCAGCTTCCTCTCCTGCAAAAGGAAAACAATGCTATTAACAGTGACAAACACAGCAAACAAGAACATCAAAAAAAAAAAAAAGGCATTAAATATTTGCTATAGGTCTTTCCACTTGTCAAGGACTGCAAAAGGCCTAATCATCTCTGAAAATTTCAGGAATGGCAGCGTCTGAACAGAATCGATTATTTCTTAATTCCATTTACAATGCTAGTTATGATCTCTGATGTGGTATAAATTATGTACTATATATCATATCATATTATATTATACCTCCATGATAGAACCACGCACTTTGGCCACAAAACCCAAACCCTATCCAGTGAGGAGCTTCTACTCAAGCAAAACCAAAGAGTAATAATAGTAGCAGCCCACACACCAGAAGCACTAGACTAAGTACTAGACTAAGTCTCAAGAGGTAGGTGTTAATACTCCCCCACGTTACAGATGAGAAAGCAGGAAAATGGCCCAAACTCCTCAGCTTGCAAATGTTGGCGCTGAGATGCCAATGTAGGTCTGCTTTGGGTTCCTTTAGAATGTTACAGTGTTTCAGTGGTGTATGAGTCCATGCATCTTTTTCTGACTATGCACATGCCTGTAATTCTGTGGGTCCCTGTGAGGATCTGAGTCTCTGCATGGAGGCACTGCGAGCTGACCCACACCCACCTGTGCACGCAGGTCTTTCAGAGAACTTTCGGGAAATTTCGGCATCTGCTGTTACACAGTATAGCCCAGTGGAGGGAGCTGGATAATGTTCATTTTCTCTTGAAGAAGCTAAGGAAAAGGTATGTTAAAAGTCATCCTCTTTCAAAAAAGTACTCATTCGTGTCTTTTTTATATGTGGTTGAGTCTCTGCATGTCTCTGTGCGTAAGCCTGTTTCTTTAGACAGCATGATTAGTCTTTGCCCGCCTGTTTGCAGATGTGTTCATGTTCATGTATCTAGTGTGCACTTAGAACGGAGTGTTACGGGCACAGCGGCTATATCAGCATGTGTGCCAATGTGTATACTCGCTGAAACGTAAGCGTGTGTCTGCACTGCACACCTATGGGTGCATCTGTGCTTTTAGTGTCTTAGGTCTACATTGTCTGTAGATATATGCACGTCTATCTTTATATGCCGAGGGTGTTACGGACTTGTGTGTTCCTAGGTAGCATCTGAGTATACATCCGCATATGCATTTGTGTCTTGCATGAGCCTGTATTTATGCAGTTCTGTGTGCACATATGCCTGTAAAGGGGATTTGGAGTGTGACCCTCGCCTGTCTTCTTTGGGCAGTAGCCATGTCTGCGTACATATGCAAGTCTGTGGAACTATTTGTATTCCATGTGTTTATTGCTGCCTGTTGTGGATTAGAGAGCCACATGTGTCTGTGTGGGCATGTTTAGTCCTCATGTTTATTGTTCACAAATATCTGTATGGACTTTTGTACGTCTACATGGATGTGTATAATTGGGGGCGTGGCAGGGTGAGCTTGTGTGCCACGCCCTGTAAATCTCTTCATGTGTGTGTGTCTTGGTGTTTCTGCGTTCACATGGGCACGCCTCAGTGTTCATGCATGTGTTTGCAAGTATATGTCAGTGTAGTCAACTGTGTCAATCTTTCTGCATGTGAAAGGAGTCTCTTGGATAGTGCTGGGTACATGCCTCTGTTTGTATGTGTGCAGATGTGAACACTATACATGCATGGGAGGTTGGCATGTCTATGTGCATGCCCATCCATGTCCCCGTGCTTGTCTGACCTATGTTGGGCCTACTTATGTTTCTATGGATACATATGACTGTGGATACATGGTATAGATACAATATCTGCAGAACTGTGTCTGTGGAGATTTGCTGGGCTCTCGCAAGGTGGCCATACACATTTTTGTATCTGTGTGCATAAGTTAACAGACATGTGATTTTGTTTGTGTATTTCGGTATCCTTGTGGGGCTGTGTCTATCTGTACATCCACATGGAATGTCTATGTGCATGAATCTGTGTGTGTATTTCTGCACGTATCTGCATAAGCTTCTGTGTCCATCTCTCTATGAGTCCATTTAGGTAGAGGTTCGTGTCCATTGCTGTCTCTGTGCGCATGCCCGCCTGTGCATTTTCCCGTGTTTCTGCACATACCTGAGCATGCCTTTTCTCCCTATACATCTGAGACTGTGTGTGACTATAGATTTTTTTTCCTGTGCATATCTTTGTGTGAATCTTTTGGTATGGTTCTACGTGTCAGCATGTCCTTTAGCATATGAATGTATCTAAATCTGTACCTCGTATATGTTTCCAGGTATAGAGCATCTCTCCCTAAACGTGTGTACCGCTGTATACATGGGGAGCTCTCTGTGGATCCATCTTTGCTTACTCTGTGAGTATGCAACTGTCTTCATGTACAAGAAACGCATGTGTGTGCACACTGGCATGCCTGTTTCTGTATGTGCACCCATCTACTTGAGTATACCTGTGTATATGGCCACACTTGTACAACTGTGTGCACGCTGACTTTTTAGTGTTGAAAGGCACAATTACGTTGCATTGGGAGCATGGACATGTCTACACATTGCGTTTTCATAACAGCTATGCCTGTGTATATACAGGTGACTCTGTAAGCATGAGAATGCCACCATGTACATGCGTGAGACGCTATCAGTTCCCATCTGTATCTACTTAGCGGATGTTTCCACATTCGTATAGACATCTCCCATGTCTCTGTGCATCAATTAAAACACATACTGTGTCCGTGTGAACACTGTGGGGTTGTGTGCACGTGTGTGTTCTGATCTGTAGGAACTTCTTCATTGTGAATGCACGTGTCATTTTCACACCTACTGTTCTCTGATACCACCAGCAGAGGGGCTCAAGATGTTTTTTTTTCTCTTTAAGTAGCCATGAAAATAAACATTAAAAGACAATGTCCTTTCAAAATGTTGATCATATATATATAATGCACACACACGCATAGACTGACCGATGTCTCCCTATGACGATGGTAACGATGGCTATATAGTTACTGTTCTGTACCAACACAGGATGTTTATACTCTAGAGACGAGTCGATGGTTACTGGTCTCCTCGAACCCTGCGCCACCTGGGCCATTTGTGTTGGACACCTGGCTTACAGCTCGTTCTGCCTTACTTCCAGCCTTCAGCTGGACCCACTTGCTGCCTCCTGGCTATCCAAATCCCACCCCACAGCCCCACACCACCTGTCTTCTTCCCCACCCTTCTTCTTTGTCTAGATATTCAGATGCAGATAGTTGGTGTTATTTAATCCTTACAACAGAAACCAATGTCATCCCGTTTACAAAGAGGAAGTGAGGATCAGAGAATTCGAGTGCATTCTCTCTGGTCAGATGGCAAAGCTGCAGAAGAGGCAGAATTCAAAATCACTCCTACTGACACCAAACCTAAATTCTCTCTGATCGAACGCTGACCATTTCAGCAAGGGAACATTTCAGCAAGGGAACATACAGAAGTCCCAGCGCCAGTAAGCGGTGGAACCTGGGTGGAAGCAGGCGCCAACATTTACAATCTGCGACTGTGACTTCTGAATGCACAGTTGGGCGAGTCTATGAAGCGTGGAGCAAGTCTTCGCATTGCAGGGCAGGTCTGTGTGGGACTATCAATTCACTGTGGGCTATGGAATGTGGCGAGACTGTGTATCATGGGTTGAATCTAGGCATTCTACAGTAAATTATTATGTCCTTGCATTATATGATGTGTCCTGCCGAAGGGGGAATCTGATTGTTTGTTTGTTTAAGGGCAGGAAGCTCCTCTGGTGTGGGTTGTCTTTGTATGGTGCGGCGCCTCTGGAGGCCACGGCCCAATGTTGTGCCTGGCCGGCAAGTCTGTATGACCTAGTTAATTCTGTTCGGTGTGTCTCAGTGTTGCAGAGAGCGCGTGAGGTCACTGGGGCAAGTCCGGCTGCAGCAGAGCTGTGTCTACTCAATAGCAGTGTTCTGTGTGCTAATGCCAATGCGCCTTGTGCTACAATTCTGTGTGGTATGTGTGCCAGTGTGTGCTGGAACATGTCTTGAACCTAGGGTATCTGTGTTGGGGGATTTGTTGTGTGGCTTGAGTTTGTGTTGTAGTTCACGCAGGGTACACCTGTCAGGGTTGTGGGGCAAGTCTGCCTATTGTGAGGTTTGTCTGTTGCACTGTGGGTCTTGTGGAATGACATGAGCGTGCAATGAGACCTCATATGTGCAGCAAACTCTGAGCATTGTGCAACATGTCAGTTCACTGTGTGTGTGTGGGGGGGGGAGCTGATATTGGCTGAGTTTGGGGATTTTTTAATGTTAGGAATTGAGTCCAGGGATTTGGATCAAGTTTGCATTTGCAAGAAAGTCCAAGTATGATGTGGTAATTCTGGGACTGTGGGGAATATCTGAATATTTTCCAGGTATATTGTACAAGGTAGACTAAACGTTTTAATTGGAGGGTTTGTGAGGGTTTGTTGTAAGGGTATGTACTGTAGGTTGTATCCAGGCCATCAATGTTGTCACAAGGTTCACAGGTGTCATGTGACAAGACTGGGCAATCTGGGATTGACACGTGCAGCGTGAAGTCTACGTGTTGCGTGAAGTCTACGTGTTGCCCAGCATTGATGTGTGATGTGCGGGGAGAAGGCCTGAATGTGTTGTGGGGTTTGCTTATGTTGCTGAGCCAGCCTGGATAGCACTACATGATCCCAAGTATTCACGACAAATCGGGGTGTCATGGGGAAAATCAGGGTGATGTGAGGCAGAGCGATGTGTTGGGAAGGCAGGAGACGTTTTGTGAGTCCAGTCTTCATGTTATGGCAAATGTCTGTGTGCCATGCGGCCTTTCAGTGTGTGAAGAACAGACCTTAGCTGTTGGTGGACCAGTCCGGGGGACCTGGCCTGGCTGGATGTGAGGGATCAGTCCAGGTGATGAGGGGTTCTGGTCTTGTGGAATGGGTTAGGTGTTGTGAGGCATTATCTGTGGATTGTTTTCCCTTTTCTGTTGTTGCTTAGCATCAACTCTTGGTATACATGGAGGAAAAAAGGAATCCTCTGTCATTTCTGTGATCAGTATGCTTCATGGGGGGACTCTGTGTACTCCGATGCAACTAAATATGGGTGTGGCAAGCCAAGGCATTGGGAAAAAGTCTCAGTGAATCAGGTTATGACTGTGGTGAGTGTTTTGATAGTCTGTGTCATGCAAGGAAAGTCCTGAAACTTGCAAGGGCAATTGCAAAATTTTCAGGTGCATATCCAGATGTTGCGCTGCAGGGACCATGGAGCAAATTGTGGGGAGAGTCCACATGATGGACGAGACTGGGTGCTAGGCAGCACACGTGCACATCAGGGGCTTGGCTGTACGCTGGGGTTTGGCCAGCATTTACATGAGCTGCGTGGTAAATGTCTGCCGTGAAGGCAAGAGGTTTGTGATGGGGAGGACACGCATTACTGGGCTCAGCAACCTGTGCTGGACAGCATGCGGACGGGCAGGACTGTATGTGTGACATCAGCTGCCTGCTGAGTCTGGATGTTGGCAGTTGTGTCTGAGTTTTGTGGGGTAAGTGAGATTTGGTGCTGGAACCATCTGTGGGTTGATACTTGGTGTCACGTGGTGAGGTCAGTCTGTGCTGCAGGGTGTGACTCTGAGTGTCACGGGACAAGGCTGTTATGGGGAGGCTCTGGGTGTTTGCAGCAAACCTGGACATCATAGCGCTCATCTGTATATTGCTGGGATTATCTACAGGTTTTCCGGTGTATATGTGTGCTGGAAGGTGAATCTTGTTCTTTCGAAGACAGGAAAGTGTGTG